AATTCTGTGTTGGATAAATCTGAAATTAGTATTGAGAATTTAGCCTCAAGTAATATTTCAAATAAGGTGAAGTATAATGTTGTTAGTATATGAGAGATTGAAAATAATGTTGAAATTCGTGTAGAATCTGATGTGAGAGGGGAAAATATTTCTGAAAATAAGAATAACATTTCTGAAAATCAAAATGAATCTGATTTTGATAATAGTTATCAAAATGAGTTAGAAGATTACCAATTAGCTAGAGAGATATGGATAGAAGAGTCTCTAAGTTGCCTTCTAGGTTTGATGATTTTGATTTGTCCTCTTTGGCTTTTAGTGTATTTGAAATTTAGATGGTAATGAATCTAAGACAAACATCCAGTGGTTAAAAGCAATGAAAAAGGAAATAGATTCATTATATGATAATAAAACTTGATGTTTGGTCCCTAAACCTCCAAATTGTTCGCTTGTTGACTGTAAATGGATTTATTAAGTTAAACAATAAGATAATGGAATTAAGTTTAAGACTAGATTAGTAGCTAAGGGTTTTACCCAAAAAGAAGAAATAGATTATAATGAAATTTTTGCCCCTGTTGTCAAATTTACCACTGTTAGAGTCATGTTAGCTTTAGTTGCATTTTATGATTGGGAGCTAAAACAATTAGATGTTAAAAAAAAACTTTTTTACATGGTGAATTAAATGAGACAATTTATATGAAACAACTTGAAGGTTTTGTTGATAAAAACAAAATGAATTTTGTTTGTTTGTTACATAAATCTTTGTATGGTTTAAAAGAGTCACCTAAACAATGGAATATCAAATTTGATAATTGTATGAAAAATTTTGATTTTCCTAAAAGCAAATTTGATTATTGTTTGTATTTTAAGACTGTTAAAAACCAACCTGTTTTTCTTCTCATTTGTGTTGATGATATGTTGATTATTAGTCCATATTTAAAGCTGATTGATCAAGTGACTAAGTGTTTATGTGATGATTTTGATATGAAATTGTTGGGTGATGCCAAAGTGATTTTAGGCATGTGTATCACTAGGGATAGAAAAAATTCAAGGCTTTTTTTGAATCAGTCTGCTTATACTCCGAAAATTCTTAAGAAGTTTTCTATGGGTGATGCTAAATTTGTTTCCGTGCCTATGGTTTCTAATATGAAACATGTGTCATATTTTAATGCTATAGGTTCCATAATGTATTTAATGGTTAGCACTAGATCAGTTTTAGCTTATGCTATTAGTTGCTGAAATAGGTATATGTCGAACCCTGGTTTAGAAGATTGGCATGCATTGAAATGAGTTTTTAGATACTTAGTTGGTGCAATAAATGTTGATCTTGTGTTTGGTAAACATACTGAAAATGTTAAATTGGAGTTGTGGATTCAAATTATGCAAATGACAGAGATAGTAGGAAAAGTACAACTTCTTATGTTTTTACTTTGTGTGGAACTTGTATAAGTTAGAAATCTCAATCGCAACACGTTGTAGCACTCTCCACAACAAAATCTGAATATGTTGCAATAACTGAAGCTTTAAAGGAAGTATTGTGGTTAAAAGGTTTAGTCAATGAATTAGGTTATTTGCAGCATGTTGTTACTCTTCTTTCGGATAGTTAGTCCGGAATCAAGTTGTGCAAAAACCATGTATTTCATGATAGAACCAAACATATTGACGTGCGTTTTCATTTCATACGTGATATTGTATCTAAAGGAATATTAAAGTTAGAAAAAATTTCTTTTGAGTATAACTTATCTGATATAGGTACTAAAGTTTTGCCTGCAAACAAATTTGTATCTTGATGAAATACATACATTGTGATACCTTTCATTAGTCTGTACCACTTAGAGTAGTTGGTAGGCTAAGTTAATATTTTTTACTAACATTATGTCTTTTTTTATGTAGGTAAATATATGGCCAATGATATATCCCAGCCACTCGGACAAAAAATCAGATGGAGGATTTGTTGGATTTTTTAATCCAATTGGATCCACTCCAAAGTAAGACACACACACCCAATTATGCAGCCCACTTAAACCTTGGCCCTGGCCGCGACCCATACCCGCCGACCCGCTCCGCCTGAACCGCAGCTCACTTAGTCTTGACCCATACCCACTTACCTAACCCGCACCCGTGACCCGTTTAAGGTCCGCGTCTCTTTGCTAGACGTGATCTGGACTGTCTATCTTAAGTCTTTAATCTTGGCCATCCAATCCCTTTTAGACCTACCTATATAAAGAGAGGAGAGAGACGCCGTCATATAACGCTCTCACACTCTCTCTCTAACTCACCCTCTCTAGTCTCTCTCTCTCGACCTCTCTGTTCATCCTCTCCGGCGATTTTTCTTGGCAGTTCATGGCGGTGCATTTTCTCCTGTAATTTGTGGAGTTCCTGTGGCGGGTTTTTACCCTCTGTTTTTGTTGGGCTCATTCAACTTGTAGGCGTTTGTATTTTTTTTGTTTTGCCTTGTATGTTTTTAAGGGGGTTTGTTTTGTTTGAGTCGTGTTTGTTTCGAGCCGATTTAAGTGTGTATTTGCTAGTTAGGTGTTTTTGTGTGTCGATTTATGTTTCGAGTTGGTTAGGGCCTGAGCCTAACCAAAACTAGTTCAATATTTGGTTTTGTTACTCGATTTCGTTAATAAAACTTTCGATCTGTCCATATTACACATGAATTTTGGCATGAATAAAGCAATTCAATGAATATAATATTATATCAATTGATTTTAACATAAAATATACATATTTTGAAAAGTATTATATATTGTGTTCTTTTTGCCAAGAAAATACACATGTTTTTTAAAAAAAATAATATATTTTATCCATTCATTATTTTTTAATTACTTACACATTTCTCTATATTTCACGTAAAAAAATATTGTTTTAAATTATTTTACAAAACAAACACACTCTTAGTAAGTTAGTAAAGTTAGATTTATTTTTTGATATATTGAGTATGTAAGTCTCAACTCAAATATCATTTTTATAATTTTCGTTTAAAAATGTCTATTTCCTAACATAGTAAAAAGTATTTTATATACAAATACGAAAATACATTTAGTTTTGACACAAATTACAAAAATATATTATTATTTTATTTGTATTTTATAAGGGCAAAAATATCAAACTATATTATACATTTTCACTTAACAATAAACTAATATTATTTTTTAATATATTACAAAAAAGAAAATGACCACTCTGGATGGGACGAATGAAGTACTTTCTCGGTCCCACATTTGAAAGTGGTCATCTGAAGTTTTGTAGTAAATTAAAAAATAATACTCATTCTCTCACAATAAATTTGTACACTTTAGATGGGCACGAAATTTTAGGTATGGTGTAATTAGTAAGTAAAAAGAAATATATTAGTATAAATGAAAAAATTATATATTATGAATTTTAAAATGTGATTAAGATGTATAATTTATTTCCAAAAAAATGAAAAACTATTTGGGACAGACCGAAATAGAAAAAGTGGATAAATTATGTGGGGACAAAGGGAGTAGTATTTTATTGGTTAGTGGAAGTGTTTAAGAGATTTTGACATTTTTGTCTTTTGACTTTATATATAAAGTAATTGTATGTGTAATGATATTTTGTAATTTAAATAAAAGTTAAGAGTATCTTAGTATAGAGTATAATTGTTTTTATTAGAAAATGAAATTGATACTTTTGAATGACATAGAAGAAATTAGTAAAAATAGTATTTTGAAATAGGAAAATGATACCATTTTTTATTTCTATCCGTCCCAAAACAAGAGTTCCTTTTGCTAATTTAATAATTTTACTACCTACTTAATATAATAAATACTCTTACAACTTATAATATATTACACAAATATCATTACTTTTATATTACATAGTACTAATAGAACTATTTTGTCTTTTATAATACAAATAATATAATACTAATATTTAAAAAAATTATTTGAAAAAAATAAATGATACTTTTTTTTTTTACGATGGAGGAAATATAAATATATATTTATTTATTATAAAGAGATAAAAACTGTTATGTAATATGTACGTAGTACACACGAAGTGACTACGTGACACTTTTGTATGCTTTTTCTTTTCCTTCCTATCAAGGTCTCAACACCTATAAATAGATGTTGAATGCTGGAATGAATATACACAAGAAATCACACTAATCCTCATTAACTGCTCTCTCTCTGCATTAACTCCATACTACATATACATACATTCTAATATAGAATATAATATAATTATATGCTCTCTCTATAATTATACATATATACATAAATATATATACACATATAGATACACTTACCATTATATATATATATATTTTATATAAGCACACCCGTACACATATACATATATATTACACTTACTATTATATTATCATTATTATATAACACGTTATCAGCACGAAGGCTCTTGCCTATTTTGGTTTTTGGTAAGTTTTATTTTTATAATATCTATATTATCTATTTTCTAAACTATGGAAAACCTTGCAAAATTTTCTTTTAAACCTCTATCTTTCACCGGCAATAATTTTCTGACTTGGTCCCTGGATGTAGAAATGCATGCATCTGGTTTCTATGGGCCTTGTTCATACAATTGCCAGTGAAAATGCGGCTACAAGCCAAGATCGGGCTAAGGCTATTATTTTCATTCGTCATCATTTGGACATTCCTCTACAGTTTGAATATTTGACGGTGAAAGATCCATTTGATTTGTGGAATGAATTGAGGGAGGGATTTGGACACTTGAAATATATCACTCTCCCGAAAGCCCGACATGATTGGTTTAACCTGCGGTTGCAGAATTTTAAAACTGTTACAGAGTACAACTCTGATATCCATCAGATTACATCTCAGTTGAAACTCTGCGGAGAAAAGGTTACTGAGAATGATAAATTGGAAAAGACTCTCTCTACCTTTCATGCTTCGAATGTTGTGCTGCAACAACAGTATCGTGAGAAAAACTTTCAAAAGTACTCATAGCTCATTGCATGTCTTTTATTAGCTGAGCAAAATAATGAGTTATTGATGAAAAATCATCAGTCCCGGCCCACTGGTTCCAGTCCGTTCCCTGAAGCGAACGTGACATTTTCTGAACTAGGCCGAGGACGTGGTAGACGCCGTGGACGTGGTCGCGGTCGTGAGAGTCAACGCGGTCGATATACCCCTTACAATCGCCGCAGTTTTGACGTTAACAGGATGCAGAGTAAACCCCAACATGGGGATATAGCCGAAAAGGCTAAACAGGGAAAGAGGCAAATCGGCAGTTGTAATCGGTGTGGCATTAAAGGTCATTGGGCCAATACCTGCATAATAGCCAAACACCTAGCCGATCTTTATCAAGCCTCACTGTAGAAAAAGGGGAAGGAAGTCGAGACTAATCACGTTGATAATGATGACGACCCCGATGATGATCTTTTGGATTACGACACAACGCATCTTGATATAGCGGATTTTGTCGTAGATCCAGCAAACCCCCAGTGATAGACATATTATGTCATTTTACATTATGTTTTGTAATATTTAAATTATCGCATATTACCCTTTTGTAATGCATTTTGTAAACTTATATCTGTTTTTATTAATACTGCGTTATTTAAATTTGAAGGTTAATGGATGCCAATCAAAATGATGCAAATATGTGTTTCATTGACAGTGCAACGAGACATACTATATTGAAACACGAAAAATATTTCTCCTATTTGAAAAGGGAAAGAATAAATGTCAATACAATAAGTGGCAGTGCGAAATTAATTGAAGGCTCTGGAGAAGCCATTATATCCCCGCGGGGACGAAAATTCTGATACAGTATGCACTGTTGGCCACTAAAGCTCGAAAAAATCTACTGAGCTTTCATGACATCCGAAAAAATAGTTATCACGTTGAAACTATGAGTGATACCGATGGTGAATTTTTATTGATCACCAATATCATTGATAAAAGGAAATGCATCATTGAGAGATTACCCTCACTCTCTACTGGCTTATATTATGCCAGATTAGGTGTTGTTGAAACACACCTCACGGTAGATCAAAAGACTACCGATTTTCAAATATGGCATGATCGCCTTGGGTATCCTGGCAGTATAATAATGAGGCGAATAATTGAGAATTCGCATGGCCATTCATTAAAAGATCAAAAATTTTTAAACTCAAATGAGTTAACCTGTGTTGCCTGCACTCAGGGAAAATTGATAATCAGGCCATCGCCAGCTAAAGTAGGTATTGAATCACCTACATTTTTGGAAAGAATACACGGGGATATATGTGGACCAATAGACCCACCGTGTGGGCCATTTAAATATTTTATGGTGTTTATTGGTGTATCTACTAGATGGTCACATGTCTGTTTATTATCTACTCGCAATATGGCATTCGCGAGATTGCTTGCCCAAATTATTAAATTACGGACACAATTCCCCGATAATCCAATTAAAACTATACGTCTTGATAATGCGGGTGAATATACATCGAATGTATTTGATGATTATTGCATGTCGATTGGAATTAATGTAGAGCACCCAGTTGCTCATGTTCATACACAAAATGGTCTGGCATAATCACTTATTAAAAGATTGTAATTGATTGATTTCTAGACCATTACTGATGAGGTATATGTTGCCCATTTCAGCTTGGGGGCATGCAATCTTACATGCAGGAACACTTATAAGAATGAGGCCGACAAACTATCATAGCTATTCCCCAATGCAGTTAGTATTTGGTCACGAACCAAATATATCACATCTACGTATTTTGGGTGTACTGTTTATGTTCCTATTCCACCCCCCAAACGTACAAAAATGGGTCCTCAACGTAGATTGGGCATTTATGTCGGATATGAATCGCCGTCAATTATAAAATATCTTGAACCTATGACGGGTGATTTATTTACTGCAAGATTTGCAGATTGTCATTTTGACGAATCATATTTTCCGACATTAGGGGGAGACAAAAACGAACCGAAAAGGGATATTAATTGGAAAATTCCATTGAATTTTTGTGATCCTCGTACAAAGCACTGTGAACTAGAAGTTCAACGCATTATACATTTGCAAAATATTGCAAATAAGTTACCGGATGCATTCAATGACTCGAGCAAAGTCACTCGATCATATATCCAAGTTGTTAATGCTCCGGCTAAAATAATTGTCCCTGATGGACAAATTGCAAGTGCTAATGAATCAGCGACACGCTTAAAGCGTGGTAGACCACTTGGTTCCAAAGATAAACATCCTCGAAAGAAAAGAGGAATTAATAATGATAATCATGAAAATATCATGAATGACATTGATAAACCTCAATCTAACGAAGAAGTCAACCCTGAAATAATTGCTCCAGAAGAGCACGATCTTGAAGAACATGATGAGATTATTGAAAACTCAATTAACTATATTACTTCAAGAAAATGTTGGAACCGTAAAGAGGCAATTATTGATAATGTCTTCGCATACAATTTAGCACTTGATATAATGGAAGAAAACGAGGATCCAGAGCCAAAATCGATTCATGAATGTCGGCAAAGAAATGACTGGCCAAAATGGGAACATGCGATTCAATCAGAGCTTGATTCATTAAACAAAAGGGAGGTCTTCGGACCAATTGTTCAAACACCAGATGGTATAAAACCAGTTGGATACAAATGGGTGTTTGTACGAAAAAGAAATGAACATAATGAAATTGTGAGATATAAAGCCCGTCTTGTAGCTCAGGGATTCTCACAAAGGCCTGGAGTAGATTTTGATAAAACGTACTCTCCAGTTGTTGATGGAATAACATTTAGATACCTTGTGAGCCTAGCATATCTTTATGGCTCCTTGGATACTGATATTTATATGAAAGTCCCTGAGGGATTCAATATGCCTGAAGCATACAAATTAAACTCAAGGGAATCATATTTCATCAAATTGAAAAGGTCATTGTATGGACTTAAACAATCAGGGCGAATGTGGTATAACTGTCTGAGCGAATGTTTAATAAAATAGTTTAATAAAATAAGGTTATACTAATGATCCAATATGTCCATGCGTCTTTATAAAGAAAAATGGATCAAATTTTGTCATTATTGCTATATATGTTGATGATCTCAATTTAATTGGAACTCCTGAAGAGATCCAAATTGCAGTTGAATATCTAAAGAAAGAATTTGAGATCAAAGATTTTGGAAAGACAAAATATTATCTGGGATTACAGGTGGATCATGTGAACAATGGAATATTTATCCATCAATCCACATATACCCAAAAGGTATCAAAACAATTTTACATGGATAAATCTCACTCTCTGAGTACACCAATGGTGGTCAGATCACTTGATCTCAGTAAAGATCCATTTAGGCCAAGAGAAGAAAATGAAGAAATACTTGGCCCCGAGGTACCATATCTCAACGCTATTGGCGCATTAATGTACCTTGCAAATTGTACCAGGCCAGATATATCTTTTTCAGTAAATTTACTGGCCAGGTTTAGCGCATCCCCCACAAAGCGCCATTGGAATTGTATCAAGCACATTTTTCGTTATCTTCAGGGGACTCATGACCTCGGATTATTTTATTCGAGTGAATCTCGAGATGAATTAACTGGTTATGCTAATGCTGGTTATTTGTCTGATCCGCACAAAGCAAAATCTCAAACTGGCTATTTATTTACTTGTGGTGGAACCGCAATCTCTTGGAGATCTGCTAAACAGACAATAACAGTTATTTCTTCAAACCATGCTGAGGTTTTAGCAATTCACGAAGCCAGTCGTGAATGCGTTTGGTTGAGGTCTATGACTCATCATATTCAGAAAAATTGTGGCTTGATAATTAATGATGTATTACCTCCTACAATATTATTTGAAGATAACGCAGCTTGTATAGCTCAATTAAAGGGATGATATATTAAAGGCGATCGGACAAAGCACATATCTCCGAAGTTCTTTTTCACTCACGATCTTCAAAAAAATGGTGAAATTGATGTGCAACAAATTCGATCGTTTGAAAATTTTGCAGATTTATTTACGAAGGTGCTACCGACTGCAACATTCAACAAACTGGTGCAAGGAATTGGAATGCGTCGGATGAAAGACATCAAATAAAGTCCAAAACAGTGGGAGCGCATTAATACAAGCATAATGTACTCTTTTTCCTTCACTATGATTTTTTCCCACAGAGTTTTTTTTTTATAGTAAGGTTTTAACGAGGCACATTCTTTGTATAAAAGCATCCAATGGGGAGTGTTATGTAATATGTACGTAGTACACACGAAATGACTACGTGACACTTTTGTATGCTTTTTTTTTCCTTCCTATCAAGGTCTTAACACCTATAAATAGATTTTGAATGCTGGAATGAATATACACAAGAAATCACACTAATCCTCATTAACTGCTCTCTCTCTGCATTAACTCCATACTACATATACATACATTCTAATATATAATATAATATAATTATAATCTCTCTCTATAATTATACATATATACATAAATATATATACACCTATACACACAGTTACCATTATATATATATTTTATATAAGCACACCCGTACACATATACATATATATTACACTTACTATTATATTATCATTATTATATAACAAAAACAAATTTATTTGAATAGATATGATATACTTAGTCAGTCCACACTTACAAGCATACACATCTTTAACTATTAACTAACTTTTTTTAACAAATATTTTTACTTTGTTTTACATTATTACTTTTAGAATAAAAATAAAAATAAAATTATTTATAATTATTCATTATAATTAAAATATTATTATATTTTAAATTTGTACAAAAAAAAAAATACTTCCTCCGTCGGACTCTAAAGGTCTTATTTACGTTTTGCGTCATTGTATTTAACATTAAAAATATCCTTATATTTGTATAATTGTTTTCACAAATGTTATTATAATAGTATTATAAAACACTAATATAACTATTATTGTCATCTTTTTTTGTAGTACATTTTCATATAATAATTAATATTCAAAGATCAATTCGCAACAAAAAAATAATAATAATAAATGAGACCTTAGAAGTGGATTGAGGTAGTATAATTTTACGATAGACAAAGTGAGTAATATAATATTTGAATAAAAATTTGAAATTTTTGTACACATAACTATTACAAGGCTATTATATAGTGTATACGTATGTTTAATGTGGATGCTTTGTAGCCTAAGTTTGAACTTGAGTTGCTTATATATATGGCATTGTGTAAAGACATTTATGACTACAAGATAATTAAATAGTGAACTCTATGCTCGGCTCTCCATTTCTTTCTCTATCTAATATATATATACTACATCATTATCATTATCATCATCACACACACCTACACGTACGTACATACAACTCACATATATGGTGAGCCTAACAGTACACAATAATCTTGATATGTGATTAATGGATGTGGTTACTGCCTATCTTTATGGCTCCTTAGACAATGACGTCTACATGAAAATCCTAGAAGGGATTAACATACCTGAATCATTCTAA